ATTAAAAAGTAAAAAAAAAAAGAAAAATAGATGTTGGCAAGGCTGCAGAGAAAAGAAAACACTCATACACTGTTGTTGGGAATGTAAATTAGTACAAGCTCTATGGAAAACAGTATGGTGATTTCTCAAAGAACTAAAAACAGAACTACCATTTGATCCAGCAATCCCACTACTGGGTATAAACCCAAAGGGAAATAAACTATCAAAAGAAAATGTGGTACATATACACAATGGAATATTATGCAGCCATAAAGAAAAACAAAATCATGGCCTTCACAGCAACTTAGATGCAACCAGAGACCACTATACTAAGTGAACGACCACAGAAACGAGGAATTGTATACCACATGTTCTCACTCGTAAGTGGGCCCTAAACACTAGTCACAGTAGCACAAGGGTGAGATCGGCAGTCAAGAGGCATGGCTAGGGGAGTGAGGGAGGGAAGGAGGGTCACGAGGGCGTGGGGCAACAAGATGGGTACCTACCTGGTCTACTACCTGGGGAGAGAGGGTCAGCTAGAAGACCAATTTTCAATTGCATGCAGCCTACTTATGCTGCAGACTCACTTGTACCCCACAACTCTAAAATAAAAAGTAAATTATTTTCTGGAGTCTGCTATGAATTCTCTGAACTCCATTCCCTTCTATGAAGTAGAGTTACCAGTAATAACATCTAGCCTTTGGAGTCTACCCATTCCAAGGGCTAGAAACTATGATTTGTGAACTGAATCCAGTATGCCACTTGTTTTTAGATGGCTAGAGAGCTAAGGCTGGTGTTTATGTTTTTAAATAATCGGAAAAATTCAAAACAATACCAAGACATCACGAAAAATGAAAATGATAGGAAATCGAATGTTGCTGTTCATAAATAAAAGTTACTAGGGTCAGGCGTGATGGCTCAACTCTGTAATCCTAGCACTTTGGGAGGCTATGAGGGGATTGCCTGAGACCATGAGTTCGAGAACAGCCTGGGCAACTTGGTGAGACCTCATCTCTACAATAAATCAAAAAATTAGCCATGCGTGGTAGCACATGCCTGTAGTTCCAGCTACTTGGAAGGCTGAGGCAGAAGGATTGCCTTACCCCAGTGGGTCAACGCTGGAGTGGCCGTGAGCATGCCACTACACCCCAGCCTGGGAGATGGAGTGAGACTCCATCTCAAAAAAAAACCCCAACAAAACAAAGTTACTGGAATACCATAAAAAAGATACCAGCACTTACATGTTTATTGCAGCACTATTCACAATAGCAAAGATAGGAAATCAACCCGTCCAACAGAGGACTGGATAAAGAAAATGTGATATATACATACACACACTCTCTCCATGGAATACTACTTCGCCATAAAAAAGAATGAAAAGTCTTTTATAGTAACTTGGATGGAACTGAACTGGAGGCTATTATTCTAAGTGAAATAACTCAGAAACAGAAAATCAAATACCACATGCTATCCCTTATAAGTGGGAAATAAACAATGGGTATATGTGGACATACAAAGTGGAATAATAGACAACGGAGACTATAAAAGGTAGGAGCATGGAAGGGGGGAGGGATAAATGATTACCTATTGGGTGCAATGTTCACTATTCAAGTGATGGATACACTAAAAGCCCTGATTCTCCCACGACGCAATACATACATGTAAGAAATCTGCACTTTGTACTCCCTAAAATGCACACTTACACGTACCAGGAAAAAATAAATAAAGATGAATCACTAAGGATGTTTTTCCACTAAAAAAAAAAAAAAGAAAGAAAGAAAAGATTATTGATTGCTTAAAATAAAAATAATAAAAATATATCTAAGGCAGCCACAGTGGCTCACATCTGTAATCCCAGCACTTTGGGGATGCCAAGGCAGGATCGCTTGAGCCCAGGAGTTCAAGACTAGCCTTGGCAACAAAGTGAGATCCTGTCTCTATTAAAATTTTATATGTAGGCGGGCTTGGTGGCTCAGCCTATAATCCCAGCATCTCGGGAGACTGAGGTGAGAAGATTACCTAAGCCTGGGGGTTCGAGATCAGCCTGGGTGACTTGGCGAGACCTTGTCTCTACAATAAATAAAAAATTAGCCAGGCGGGGTAGCACACACCTGTAGTTGCAGCCACTTGGAAAGGTGAGGTGGAAGGATGACTGGAGCCTAGCAAGTTGACACTGGGGTGGCCTGGGCGATGGAGTGAGACTCCAACTCAAAAAAATACAAAAAACAGGCCGGGCTCAGTGGCTCAGCCTGTAATCCCAGCACTTTGGGAGGCCGAGGTGAGTGGATTGCCTGAGCCCACAGGTTCGAGACCCGCCTGGGCAACTTGGTGAGACCTCATCTCTACAATAAATCAAAATATTAGCCGGGCGTGGTAGCGCGCGCCTGTAGTTCCAGCTACTTGGAAGGCTGAGGCGGAAGGATCGCCGGAGCCCAGCAGGTCGAGGCTGCGGTGGCCAGGAGCGGCCACTGCACTCCAGTATGGGTGACAGAGTGAGACTCCAACTAAAGAAAAAAAATATATATATATTTGCTATATTTAAATATACATTTACTACATTTAAATATATGCTATATTTAGCAATAAAAAACAATAGCACAAAAAATAGGAGGACACAATTGATAGAACATTGTTACAAGATTCCTACCATATACATGGACCAGTGGAATAATTTTGTTAGATTTCTGCCATGTCCATGGACACTTGGAAGAACACTATTAAAAGATTTTCACCATGTACACGAACAAGCATAATTTTTGAAGGTAGACTGTGATGAGTTAAAATAGTCACATTAACGTCTCTAGAGAAACGACTAAAAAAATTACAAAAAGAATAATAAAGTCAACAGAGAAGATAAAATGGAATAGTAAAAACACTTGACTCCTCAAAAAATGGCAGGAAAGGAAGAAAAGCAGAGAGACAAATAGAGTATAATCAAACACTGAAACAATCAACTTAGACTCAAATCTGTCAATAATTTTATTAAAGTCAAATGAATTTTAAAAAGAATGAATTGTAAGAATTCAAAATATAAAGTAGACATTGTCAAACAGGATTTTATAAGTGGTGTCTAATAGGAAACATGCTTTAAAAATAAAGATAGGTTAACAGTAAAAGGATCACAAAAATAAATGCTATAAAACAGAAAGCACAAGAAAGCTGGCTTGGTTATGAAGACATCAAAGTAGACTTCATAATGAAAGTACTATAGGAGATAAAGAGAGATATTTCATAATAATAGGATAGTCAATTCATCAAAAAGACATAGGACTCTTAAATAAATGTGTATGAACCCAAAAACAAAGCTCCCAAATGTATGGGAAAAAAATTGACAAACTAATGAAAAAAGAGAAAAATACACAATCACAGAGCAAGTAGACAAAATCAGTAAGGAAATACAACAGAGGTCAGCAAAGTTTTTCTGTAAAGTAGCAAAATAGTAAATAGTTAAATAAAATAGTAAATATTTTTGGCTTTGTGGGCAGTCATGCTGGGCTCAGGCTATCCTTCTGCCTCAGCCTTCTAAGTAGCTGGAACCACAAGTGCACGCCACCACACTGGGCTAATTTTTCTTGATTTATTGTAGAGACAAGGTCTCAATATGTTGCTGAACCCCTGGGCTTAGGCAATCCTCTTGCTATTGCTACTGTAGCACCAAAGCAGTCATGAAAAACATTGCGAATGGGTATAGCTGTGTTCTAATAAGACTTTATTTATAAAAACATATGGTGGGTCGGGTTTGACCAACAGTTTATTCATTATTTATAATTGTTAGCTATATAGCTCGCTGGAATAAACAAATTCTAGTTTTTATTCTATGTATAACTTAGTTCCTAAGCCAAAATGACCTCACTTCAAGCTTTAAGAAGGGTCTTAAATTCTATCTGACATTTTAGAGTTTAGTTAACTTTTATTTTTTTAAAGTCACAATCTCAGTCTTGTCGTCCAGCTGTAGTGCAGTGGCATGCTCACAGCCACTGCAGTCTTGACCTGCGGGGCTCAGAAGATTCTTCTGCCTCAACCTTCCAAGTAGCTGGAACCACAAGTGTGTGCCACCACACCTGGCTAAATTCTTTATTTGCTGTAGAGATACGGTCTCACCATGTTGCCCAGGCTGATCTCAAAGCCCTGGGCTCAGGCAATCCTCTCGCCTCCATCTCCCTAAGTGCTGGGATTACAGGTGTGAGCCACCATATCCAGCTAGCATAGTTTTACTAGTCATGAGTTCATGTTACAACCTTTATATTTTATATGTACACAAGTGTATGCAATTCAACGACATTCCCTGTCAGATTTTATCTTTCCATACTGAGGAAGCCACGATTTTTACTCTCTTCTTAAGTCACATCCCCTGCCCTCACTCAATTATATCTTTGAGGCAAAAAAGAAAAGTACATCCTGAATAATCCATGTGGTAAAACATTACTTTTTCTTTTGGCTTGAGTCTTCATTCTGATTATGTTCATCTTTAACCAAATCGGCTAATAATTTCTGTACTAGTTATCTTCTATTCAGCTACAGCTACTGGTAGGAAAATAAATCAGTGGTAATGAATAAATTATCTGTTTCAACTGATATCAGAAAGCTGAATTTTCTATATTTAGACATGAAAAAATGGGGGGTAATAATGTAACACTCAGTCAAAGAACAATACTATTCAAAAACATAAAAGTAATCTTGTATTCTGTGATTGCTTCCATCTTTTCAGGAGAGAAGAATCTTAAGAAACATATCAACTCATTCAAATCTCTAAAATGTAGCATAAAGAAATGTTTAAATGTCAGGACTACTGTCATTTAATCAAGAGTGAAAACACCCTCGGTATATTTTTCACAATAGTCATATGACCCTAAAACATTAACTAGCTATTAAACTGAAGTACAGTTGCTAAGAAAGCATACCACTCACTAAAGCTTGAGTTCTTAAAAACATCTTAAGAAACTTAAAAACGTGCTGTTAGTAGAAATAGTATCTCGTATAGTCAAAAAGAGGACAGCAGTTTCAGGACCAACGTACTTTACCTTTCGTAGCCGGTGACTTATCTCAACCACAGGCCCAGCAATGAGAGTAGAAAGTATGCCCCGGTGCACAGGGGTGTCCGTGTGCCAAGACTGAACGGTGGTTATAAACTCATGAAGAGGCGTCTGAACAGAATAAAGGAGCTACAAGAAAATGCATCAGTTGCTTTTAGTGCAGCTAATAATCATAGTTTTTTAAAAAACCAGAAAGGCACTTTAATTACTCTGACTATCCTCCCTCAGGATACAAATCTCTCACACACCTTGGCTAGAAGAGGACTGATGGGGCCAAAGCCCAGTGTGACTTGCTGTTATGACATTCTTTCCCCAAAACCAAAGAAAAACCCCTAAGCATATAAATAGCAATAGGAAGGAAGAAGGGGAGGAAGGAGAAACATCAATGATATTAAAATAAAGCATTAATTATGAGATCTGAATGAAGTGACACAGCCAATGATAAAAGGTATGATTGGAAAAATTAAAGGTTTGGGCACAAATTACATAAATAGACCATAGACACGTGAAATAACTAATTAAAAATAGGAATACTTCATATTAATTAAATTTGAACTAGACTAGAGTAAATATGGCCAAAAACTTTTAATTGCCTCTATCAGCAAAGGATAGAATAAAACTGATGTCTTCAATAATTCTTGACCAACCTTCCATTTAAGCATTTAAAAAATTTTTTTCATTGAAAAATAATAGCACAGGCTGGATGTAGTGGCCCAAGCTTGTAATCCCAAGCTTTGGGAGGCCAAGGCAAGAGGATTGCCTAAGCCCAGGAGTTTGAGACCAGCCTGGGCAACTTGGTGAGACCTCATCTCTACAATACATCAAAAAATTAGCTGGAATGGTGGTACATGCCTGCAGTTCCAGCTACTTGGAAGGCTAAGGTGGAAGGACTGCCTGAGCCCAGCAGGTCGAGTCTACGGTGGCCGTGAGTATGCCATTGTACTCCAGCCTGGGTGAGAGTGAGACTCTTTAACTCAAAAATAATAATAACAACAATAATAATAACAACAATAATAATAATAGCTCATTGATGTTTTTAAACCACTACTTAGAAAAAATTAGCTCTCTCTGCTAATGACATGATTTTGTTCAGGGACTGACATTATATTATTTTTACGAGTAAAGCAAATCTGATATAAGAGTTTTTCATATAAATTGGTTAAACAAAAATTGCACTTCACATCAGTTTTCAACCAGCAAAGGGAAATCAAAGGCCCATTCAAGGTCTGTGACTCTTGCTTCTAGCCATGGGACGGGTAACATACGGTGGGAGGATAGCCCCTGATAAACATTAGCATTTCATCTGGGCAAGGTTTCTGTACTGTACACATAATCAAAATTAGCATCTTCCAAATAAAAGTATGTTTTATTTAGAAAATTCTGTGAAATAACAACTGAGTACTCAGAGCCTAGTCCTCTGCCTCCTGTCTTGCTGGCTGGGCTACCCCAACTCATGAAATCCTGAAATCCCGATGGGCACAGTCTAGAGGTGGTGAGCTCCTGGACTCCCTGGCCTCCAGTACATGCACAGAGGTCACCATTTCTTCAAGTGTACCTCACCATGAAGGATGGCACCTAGCAGTGATCTAATCATGCTGCACCTCACCCAAGCACAAATGGCACAAGTGAGAGCTGTCTGCAAGCAGTGTGATCTCCTGCACCCCAGACCTGAGAACCCCATCTTAACACCCCATCCTGGGAAGGCCCAAGTACCCGCAGGCCTTCTTCTGGTTGTTTCTTGAAGCTCCGTGCAATGCTCTCCAATATTTTCTGAAATACTTTCTGGACTGTGTCAAATACTGTTGCAGCTTCTTCATCAGAATCTGTTTTCTGAATCAAGGAACTTCTAGTTATCTCTTTCAGGATGTCAAGAAGTAATGAAACATAAAAAAATCCCTTCACTACAAAAAAAGTAGAAAAAATCCATTATCTAATCATATAATTTAGTTGAAATCGTTACACATTTTCCCTTAACACATGTATATGATGGTAATGTAAAAGAGATTATTACTGGCGAGTCAATACCAAGAACCAGGTTGATCAGATTAACCTAAATTCTAATTTTTGTTAAATAAATAATCAATCAATAAATAAGTGAAACTTTTGCTCCATTTAAGTATAAAACCAATACCTTCAATAGCAATAATATCATATTTGTACTTGACTCAGTCACTAAGAACTATGTTCACTGCACATGTGAACAGGCAGCAATTCAGCAGTGTGGCTCCTCACTGAACCACTGTTGAATTAGACAACAGTATCAATCAGTTCTGCTCTTTTTTTCCCCAATCTAACTTTCAAAACTTAATTTACTTAAACTTACTAAATGCTATCATTTTTAAATCTCTTCTAGCAAATATCTAGTCTTAAAGAAATGTCAACACCAAATGCTGAAGCTTCTGTAGGTCTCAGTGAGAACCAAATGCAGCACTGGGACGTTGAGTGAAAACCATCCAGAAACAGGTTCACACAGAGCTTAGCTACACAAGAGGCAGCAGGGCAGGAAGCTGGCTGTCAGGGGTTACAAGGTGGGGGTCAGCTTGAACATCCAATGTAATACTATAAGAAAATGACTGGCAGTAGTGGGAACCAACTATGGGGGGGGAGATGGGATTAATGGTAGTAAATATCTGCCTGGGGACGGGGAGACACCTCTTTATCAACAAGCGTGCCTGAACGAAACGTATTTGTATACCTAACCCTTAACTGTACCCCACAATACCATAATAAAAAACATTGATTATAAAAAAACAAAAAACAAGGTAGGGGTCAGGGCCAAGGTCCCAGCTCACAGTGCTCTACTTTGCTAGAGCATGTATCAGAAGGTTGAGGAGACATGAAAAGACCCCAGCCTGAGAACTCCTGATTCATGCACCGCCCCCTCCCAACCCCCTCCCCGCCAGAGCAGACCCAAAGATCACTCTCCTATGAGGTATCCTGGCAGTGAAGCAGACCACAGGGAGAGACAGAATCCCAAGGGCCCTGTCAGAAACCCTGGATATAGTTGTGTCTGACACAAGAAACACCCCTGAATTTCTTAGCTGCATCAGCCAATAAATCTCTTTCTGGTACAGGCTAGTTTGCATAACAATCTGTCACATAAAAGTGAAAGTCCTGACCTGCACAATAAAGGAGGAAGAAAAAGCAAGAAGGTCTGATTTTGAGTATTCATTGCTCTAAACCAGTCCTTTACTGTACCTGTTTGTATGATTCCAAGACTCCTCTGTAAAAGTTGTATCTGAAACTGATGGTCACCAAGGCCAACCATAACAACATCTTTACACACAGTCAAGTAGGTCTGTAAGACACAGAATAATAGGAAGGACCAACAAAGGCCATTAAAAAAGGGAATAAAGTCAGTCTGATAAAGCTTCTCATAGCTGATGTATGTTATCTAATAAAGCAGATGTTTTATAGAGGAATTCCCATAAGATACATTAATTCTCATTTTTTCCCCATAAGTAGTCCAGAAATACATTTTATGTAATTCTACAAGCATAAGTAAACAGCTATTACATCCTATGTGTAAAATTACATTAAAATTATAGTTTATGCTTTGTGAAAAGATAAACCCTAGGTATTTAAATGACACGTTAAACTTTTAAGAATAACAATAATGTCTACATTTATCGCTTTAAAATAGACAATGAAATCCTGAAATACATAACAAACATGGTAAAAAGAAAAATTCCTGTGTCTTAAGACTTCTAACCTGGATAATTTGCTGATAAATGACCCTGTGAAGCTTCAGATACTCTTCTTCTTGATCTTGAATAAAAGATAAAACTTTGCTTTCCAACCAAAAGCCAATGTCTTCCAAAATGGGCAAATAAACTTTTCCTTCCAAGGAGAACTGTCCAATAACAAGAAGAAGATAAATCAGCAAAGAAGGTGGCTTTGCTGACACGCCTCTTGTCCTGAGAGCCTAAGTCAGCATACCTTGTGCTGCAGATGAATACTCAGACGACAGTAGAGACCAAAGGCACGCAGGGCAGTTGCTTCACTGAAGCCACGTGGCTTCCCACCTGGTGTCTGCAGAAGTGACTCTAGATCTACCTGTAACAGGAAAATCCTAAGGGCCACATTCTGAGTATCATCACCACATCCTTGTACCCAACACCTCACTGTTGAGTAACCAGATGCACCTGATCTGCAGGCAGACCAGAAAGACGCCAGCTCTGGTGAAGCCCAGTCTCTGTCGACTCTACCAGGATGTAAGCTGTTACATGGTCATGGGAAATGCACAGCCAGGTGAGTAGGCTCAGAATCTGCTCAGAACCACAGTGCACAGCCCCTGCCCAGTACCCAGCACTGCACAGTCCTCTCTCTCCCTCCCTTCCTCTTTCTGCAGACCTCCACACCCTTCCCCACCTCTTGCCCAGCTCTGCTCCACGGAGGCTTTGCCTCTGCACAACCACACTTGACAGGAGCTGTTTAGGGGACTGGCGCCTGCAAGAGATGAGGAAATTTTGACCTCTACGGGACAGTTGGGAGCACAACGAATGCACACGGAACATTCTCCAAACATTCCAAGAAAACACTGCCAAGAACTCTGAAGGGAGCAATTCTCTCCATAAGAATGGACATGTGACAAGTCTCACTACAGAGAGTGTGTTCTGAGAAACATGGGTTATCAGAGTCCTAGTGTCCCAGCAGACTCAACAAAACACAGGTTTAATGCTTACTTCTCAGCTGGGACCTGACTCCCAATCTCACCACTGCCAGGCTCAGGGTCTGGTCTACCACTGAAGGAGGAGGACAAGATGACCCTCAATTTCGTTACAGCCAAAAAAAATTATAGTACCATAAATATAAAAACTTTACAACTTGCCTTATCACTCTTACTACCATAGGAAAACACTCAATTTTCAGGGTACAAAGGTACCTTTGATGTTTCAAGTGCTTTCAGAAGATGGTTAAGTTTCTTCCGGGGAGCAGATAACAGGCACTCGCGATTCTTTGGATGGGTCAGCAAATACTCTATGTAAACCAATGCCAGTTCAGGTTTCACTGGGCGCGTATCATGGATCTGCACTTTACGTTTAGAAGCTGCATTACTCTGAAAGGAAGGAGAGGAATAAACTGACACTTGTAACACATGTCCCTAGCAAAGCATATAATTTTGAATACTGTTTCCCCACTCACCTAGTTTTAAAGAACATGATTCAAACCAACCTTGGCCTGGGGATGTTCTGCGGGCAGCCAGTCATCTACGAGCTCCAGAACATGTCCCACCTGCCCCCAGGAGCACAGACAATCTAGCAGAGTACAGTAGCTCTTGTCCACAGTGCCCTCCTCCTGGCTTCTCAAAGTGGAAACCACACCACAGCTGAAAATGTCAGATATATAATCAGATCCAGTATTTCAACAATTCGCCCATGTTTGCAAAACATGAGGAAAATCAAGAAACTAAAAACCAAGGGTGTATAAGTCCTTGTTTCCATTATTAGCACTTTTACACTCACTAATGCAGGAAAAAATATATTGTTCCCCACAACCATGACATGGATAAGTCCACAACAAGATCCTGATTATGACAGCAGTTTTGGGAAATGCTAAGGAGGCAAGGACAGATGAGCCACACCCCCTTTGGCTTCTGTGCCATCTGTCAGATTCCAGAGCAAGAGTCCCTAATCTATCTTAAGAAATATTTTTTAGCCGGGCTCGATGGCTCAGTCTGTAATCCCGCACCTTTGGGAGGCTGAGGTGAGTGGATTGCCTGAGCCCACGGGTTCGAGA